TATATATATATATATATACAGTATAAAAACTTTTCTCCATGTAGACACAAGTATTAATTAAATGTTGATAACTCTGTCCAACTATTAATAAGTGCAAAAACCCCTCAAAAGAAAACATAAATATCTGGACTGTAATACATCTTCTGCATGACTGTATTAGAGCTCAGGGCCTAAATCACATCTTGGGTATCACCTGCCATGAAACTGCTCTACTAGAGACATTTATGACTGATCCAATTAGCCTGTGCAGCTGAAGGTAAGGTTCTCTATGATAGGTGAGAGGTGCCATTAACCTTTCCCTTCACCTTTTAGAGAAGTAACTCCTCTCCTGCCTGGCTACAAACAAAAAGATTTAACCATACGCGTACATATGAGGCCCATACATCCTCTCTGAGACTCTTATGTTTCTTTCTGCCTACAAACAAAAAAATGAGAGGAATTGAAACAAAACATCATAATGAGCAAAAGTAAGGGACACATTTTTCATCAATATCAGTATCCACTGAAAAGGTAAGTTCAGTTCTTCTTCTATACATTTTTAAATCCTTGATTCCTTCTGAATAGTTATTCAAACAAGGTTAATGTTCAAATAACTTTCCCAATAAGCTCTATGAATTCTGTTTTTCACTAATTGATGTTCCTCTACTTGGTCTGATCAGACTACTCTGGGAATACTTGTTCTCTGGTGTTATATTGGGCTGCAGTCTATTAATCAGTGGTCTCTGCTAGAATGACCTTTATCTGACAAGATGGAGGAGGTAAGTCCTATAGTCTAGTAGATGTAGTACAAACATACCTTCTTAACAAAGACAGGAGATTTGTTTCTGCATATTGAACACCGACTACACCAACTCCACAGGAGCAGTACTAGGTCCAGCTTCTGTAATGACTTTTAAAGTCTGAGTAAAGCAACCACCCAGATTTAAAAAGGTACTGCGCCTGTTCTCATGGATGTATTACATCCATGCCTGGTCTGTTCATGGCTAATCACAGAAGAATCTGGTAAGGTTTAGGACATGTCAGACTTTGTGGATGCTGTTTGCAAACTTCAGGAGTTTTTGCTCCTGGTGGATTTTATACAGGTTACCATTTGGAGTTTGTCTTGTTTTTTGTCAATAGTTCGTATTAAGACTAAATCGTGAGTCTGTCTTAATTTAACACTTTTCTTAATGTAGGCTGTGTTTGGTCAGTATGGAGAAGTTTAAAGACTGTCGGCTTGCAGATTGCTGCGGTGCCACTAAATCTTGGCACCGCCTGGTTTCTTTAGTGAAATACTTTAGGGGAAAGCTAAGGCTATTGATTATAGCAGGGTTTGGTTTCTCAGAGGGGAGAGTTTTAAAAAGTGTCACATCAAGGAAAGGTCAAGACAGAGAGACAGTCTTTGAGTTGTGTTTGGCAGCTTGTTCAGACTGACGCTACAGTATGTATAAATCATATATTAATATCAATGTTGTATAGATATTGGTCACTTTTTACCCAGAAAAAAAAATCACCACCATGGTTAAACTGTAGTCCCCTATTCCCTGTAAACACAGTACAGTGGCTGCACAGGCCCCCGCAGTCTTACTGTAGCCTATTTACATTTAAAATAAACTGCCAAAGAAATGTGTCACTTAAAATGGCAAAATATAAAATGCAGTAGTCTTGTTTACCTAAATGTCTTAATGTGCTGGTGTGGGCTGTGAGACGCACCGTTCCCTCATGCCTGTTCAGTGTCTGGCTGCTGTCTGGTTGATTCACTGGACTTTTCATAACATAATATTTTAGTGTTCGGGCTGAGCCGAGGGATGATATCAAGTCATTGCAAATCAAAGGGCTAAAAGTCAAGTGAAGGCCCAGATCACTGTTGTTAAAGTCCAAGTCCATGGATAGAGCCATGGGGGTGGCTAGGGGTGATGGCCGGAGGGCAGAAACTGTCTTTCTGTCTTTCTGTCTGGTCGTCTTGGCGTACAGTGACCTGAAGTGCCGTCCAGAGGGGAGGAGTTCAAACAGGGTGTGAAGGGTCTGCAGAAATCTTCTCTACCCTCCTGTTGGCCCATGAGGTGTACAGGTCCTCCATGGGGGGCAGGCTGGCACCAGTGATTCTTTCTGCAGTCCTGACTGTCCGCTAAATATTTGCATTCATTTCTCTGATTGTGTTGTTGTGGAGTAGCATGAGTCACCTCAGTTGGGGTGGACCCATGTGCAGATGTGATGTCACCGACCAGGAGTAAATAAGGAGCGCAGCCAAAGTTGGCTAAAGAAAGCACCATGTCTCTCTCACTTTCACACAGAATAAGCATTTTCATTTTTAAATAATGTATGGTTTATTAGTTCATGGAACTAGGGGTGTAGTTTACCTTTAACACGCATTTCAAATTTACCACCCCTCTCTGAGTCTGTGCCCCAGCCTGGCCACCCCATCCAAAATTTTCTAGATCTGCCCCTGTCCAAGTTGAGTTACAAGTCTTTATGATTATATCAAGACTAAAGTCCAAGTCATGTGACTGGAGTCCCCACCTCTGCTGTTAACTCTAAGCTAGGCGATACAGATTTAGAGGGAATTTAGGAGGAAGAAGAAGAGAGGGTAGGGCCAGAAGAGAGGAATGCCTGTGGGAATCTGTGCACATACTCAGACTGTGGACATTCCTGTCAGCCTGCATATGAATCTGTGTATCACTGCCTCTATTAGCGCTAGTTACATTTCTAAATCCAGCAGAAAGACTTTTGACAAATAGCCTGTCTGCTGACTCAGTCTGGGGCAGTCAGTCTAATTCTGTACCATTTGACATTTGGCCCATTTCTAAATCATAGTAATATGACTGAAATATCTCAGACTCTTATTCATTTATGGCTCTGAGGGAGCACAAAAAGTTATAGTGTTGGTAAGTAGTGAGAACAAATGGCAACAAATTACATGCTCTCTTTTCTACGACTATTGCCAGAAGGCATACTGTAGGTCCATATACAAATATTAGCAGCATTTCTCAATGCCCCTCACACATAAATACACATCTGTGCAGTGGTACACTGTGATTGCCAGTGCCTTGTCTCACCACAGCAGATTGGACATCACTGAGGATGCTGTATGAAAACACTGAATGTAAACATTACTCATACTTATGAAGACAGAAGAATTGTTTGAGCTATTTGAGTATTACATTAGTTATTAACATTGCAGCACACTGAGGAGAAAGTTGCTGATAAGAAGAGGGCTGATTAAAGGATTCATGTGCTTCCAAGGAACTAGATCACACAATGCATCATTCAAACATGTCCATAGGCCCAATGTCAGAGGATGTAATGAATGGTAGAGGTGGGGATAACACACACTCTTGGTGAGCCTTGCCTAAGACGGCCTTATCATGAAAATTTTGAACCATGCATAAAAGGTTTTTCTCTATTACAAAATGCAAATGATTCCTGGCAACATAGATTTTAGTTTTGTAAACAATAGTTTATGTACCGACATCAAACTGATGTGTCAAGAAATTGAAACACATTTCAGTTGTTCATTTCATTCATTTTCTACCGCTAAATCCCCGAACGGGGTCACAAGGGGGGCCGGAGCCAATCCCGGCCAGCAATTGGGCGAAGGCGGGGTACACCCTGGACAGGTCGCCAATCCATCACAGGCCTAACACATAGATGAACAACCACACACACATACTCCTATGGGCAATTTAGAGACACCAATCAACCTAAGCTGCATGTCTTTGGACTGTGGGAGGAAGCCGGAGTACCCGGAGAGAACCCACGCAAGCACAGGGGAGAACATGCAAACTCCACACAGAAAGGTCCCGGGGTGGGGCCCAAACCCGGAACCTTCTCGCTGTGAGGCAACGGTGCTAACCACTGCGCCACCATGCTGCCCATTTCACTTGTGTTTTGTCTTATTGCGTTTTATTGAAACAAATCTAAAACTCTCTTTGTGCCACAGTGTGCATATATATAAAACATTTATTAATACATTGTCTTCTTTTTTTCTTATTTAAACATATTTTCCTTTTTGTCTTACAAAGCACAGTGAGAAGGAGTCAAATTGCCTGTGTACTTAACATACTTGTCCAATAAATCTGATTCTGATTAAAATAATAAATAAAAAGAAGTAGAGATGTTTTATAGATTTTATTTTTTAGCCATTTCATCCAGCCCTGACTGATCCATGAACCCCTGTGTGTGTTTGTGAAAGATGCCAACATGCTGCAAGGTGCTCAGAGATGTTTGTGTGCAGTGTCACTCAGTGGAAAACAGAAGATCCATTTATACATCACTAATGTAGAAAGAAAAACACCGTCTTTGGACCTAAGTGAAATAAAGCTATTTGCTGTCTGCTCTTTGTAAAACTGTTACCAATCAATGAAGAATATTAAGAGCATTATTTACCTTGCTTTTCTTTCCTTTCTTTT